GCTGGAGACTAAATGGTTCCTGGTGATTTCACACCTAATTCTTCAGCTTAATTCCTAATTATTTTGCAGTGCTAATTAATTCCTAATTAACATGCATCTTTTCTCGTTAAAAGAAAGTCATACAGGTTTGAAATGGCATAAGGAGATGTTGTGAAGAGTGTTTATTTTCATCATAGACTCATCAGAAAAACCTACATTTCCACAAACGTCCAAAAACATTCACTGCAGTTTCCAGCTGAAATTAAAACTAGTAGCAGGAAAACATCAACAACTTTAAATCCTTTTCACATAAATTATGATTACGGGCAGATTAATGATTGTCGCTTTTAGCACCACACAGTGGACATTTCGCTTCGAAAGTGCCATAAAAACAAGCAAGAAGCAATGAAATATCATTGCTTTCATCGTCCTCTCCTCCACCTCTATTTATAAAACCCTGCACATTTCTCATCAAAATCATTTGAAATTTGTGTCAATACGTCATAAATAGAACGCAGCAGCAGTTTTCTGTCAGAGATTTGTCATGCCGCACCGCATCCAGTGTAGACCATAGATATGTGTATATACTGTATATTTATTGTGTAGACAGCAGCACTGATTATAATGAGTTTCATTGTATTTTGTCACGCTGCGCCACTCGTGTCCGGTGTAGACACGGTGTAACATTGGTTTTGCTTTGTTTCACAGAACTAATCGTTGCCTGGGTTGCTTACGTATGTGTGGGGTAGAGCTATCAAAATAGGGGTGAGACCCTTTTGGGGTAGGAGCGTGTTTGTTTTGGTGATTTGAAATGTCAACATTGGCTACCAGAAATCGCTTACCCCACCTTTAATGCTACAATTCATTCTGCAACATCATAATCGATCACATTGCGATATGGCTTTTATACAGTCAGTTCATCGCAAGGTGCCCCTAGCACCAATTACAAATTTGCATTCAACTCTTAACTACCTTTGCTCATTGTATGAGCTACAGCACTAACAGATCCATGGCAGCAGCACTGGCACTTCCACTTCATCAACCAAAGACAACTAACATATGTTCAAAAGGGAAAACAAAATTACAGGCCACTCAATTCACCATAGCCAATCTTGTAGAATAATTTTCTATGAAAACATATGGCCTCTTCACCTGGACAGTTTACACTGAAAGATCTGTTTCTATCTCTAATATCAAATATGGTGAGCAGTAATGGGTTTTAAGATGAGCCACAGCTGTGAGTTCTCAAATGCATTTGGATCACTAATGGTTTAGTCATCTTTTTCTCTGTGTTATTGATAAAGGTAGGCAATTGTTGCTAGGGGACATAAAGGATTCAGATAGCCTCTGTCAGACAATTGCAATTGTAATGAATTATTGTACAACCAAAGTATACGATAAGGACTTGTTCAAAAATTTATTACACTCATGACATTCATGGGTTCTTTTTTTATTACTGTTAGTTGGAGGGGGGGGGGGTCTACTTTATTATAAACAGAGACTTTCAAGCTCTTTGTGCTTGTAAAAATTGGGCTCAACAGTTAGGATTTTTTTTTCTTCTGCTGGCTATAAAAAACATTTTTGTATTTGCAAGAATTTTGTTTTATTTCTCCATTAATTATTTGCTTTTGACATTTTTTGTTTAAAAAATGATTTACAAAAAATTATATCCCAGCTTTTTTTCACAAAATGTAATTATGCAAACAAATTATAATATAACTACATTTATAAAAACACTTATGTTGCAAATGTGTTTTGATGCAAAACAGTACTCATTGGTCTGTAGTTTTCTTTCTGACTGATGCTTCTTACAAATTTGACAAAATCTCATCTATGTTTTTTCCCATTGTCACCCATGTTGTTGGTGGGCATCTGGGCAACCTTTGCTGTGCTCTGAAAACAGACACTAAATTTGACAAAATTATGCTTTCCTTAATTCAAAACACATAAAAAAATCTGGTAATTTAAATTTACCGTAAATGCCCTGTAATTTTAAACTTCTTATAAAACACACACATGAAAATACAGAGCAGCTTTTCCAGAGTCATTACAAGGTAGGTTTCATGAAAACTAACAGTAGATGTAACAGTAGCGGCTTCCATGAATGAAGTTAAATTAATCTGGATTAAGCATGGAGAGTGAAGTAATCTCATAGAGTGGTGAGGCATGACAACCTCTTACTACCCGACATTATGATCCAATATTACCAGCTGAATTCAAAGAAAGGGCTCTTCAAATAATATTACGATATTCACAGCACTAGAACAACAACTCTAATACAAAGAGGCTGACAAGTATTCAGACATAATATCAAACGTCCTAGATGTCACTGTGCACAGGCTGTCCACTGTATGCAAATTAATGTGATCATTATTTGTGAACGCATCTCTATCCGGGCATTCTGATGACTACAGTATAGGAATACAATATAATCCCACAGCAGAATCACATATGGACAGCATACCTTAGAGTCAGGTAATCAGGCATGATGATGTATTAATCAATGTATGCATGCATAGACAATAAAAATGCCATTAATATTACACTGAGGTGTACCATTAGCACATGATACAGTTTTCTTATTTTCAGACGCTACTGTCATTTTTAAATGGACAGCAAAATGTGCCATTTAATATCTGTCGATTACATAAATGTATGCAAAGAATGGCTCCATCATTAGACACAACGCTCAAAGCTCTTCTAGTAACCCATTATGAAAAGAGAATCAGCAAAGCAGAGCTAAAGGAGATATCTTCAGACGTTCACTAACTGACATCCTGATTCACACATAAGCTTTTTTCATGTGCTGCAGTCAGTGAAAAAAAATGTAAAATAAGAAAAGAAAAGCTTTTTAACACTATTACACCTATGCAATTGTCTTTATATTTCTTGATTCACTATATCACATATTTTGAAACACAGGGAGTGGTCAGTGTCGTTGTTTGTCATTAGTGTATCTGCCACTCCCTGGCGAAATGATAAACGGGACTGCACACGGCCAAGAGTCCATCAGGTTTCGCTTCTGGGAACAGGGATGCCATTAACACAATATACACATGCTAACAGTACCATGCAAAACTGTAATCTGGTCACCAACAATCCCCACCAGAAGCAGAACTGAACGGCTCTTGCCAAAGCAAAAACTACCAAGAACCTATCAGAAATATCAAACTTACGTGTTTTGCGGCTGACGTGGGTTCGACCAGGCGTGGTCACGTGCCGTTCAGTGGATGACTGCTCTCTGGTCCACATTTGGGTGGAGTCGTTTAGAACGGCAGGGTTGGAGGGAGAGGGGCTGGAGGTGGACGTTTGGACCGCAGACGTTGTGGTAGAGGCCACGGTGGTCATAAAGGTGGGATTACGTGTGACAAAGCGCGTAGACGGGCTCTTCTGTGTCACCTGGCTGCCGGATGCACCACCACCTCTTGGTGGAACATTGGGAGGAGTTCCTGTTCGAGTCCTGCTCCGCACCACAGTGGTGACGGTGGGGCTGACCGAGCTGACCCCTCCAATAGTGGTTGTGGTGGTGGTGGTGTCAGATCCCTTAGGAAAAGTGCTAGGTTTGGACAGAAAGATGGGGTCCTGACCAATACCCTTGGCGTCCACCAAGTCAGTAGGCACGTAGTCCCGCACAGAACCCACTACGATCCATTTCAGCAGCATCAGACTCAGCCCTAGGCCTATGAAGCCAATTATAAGTGGGACCACGCAGAGCCAAGTCTGTTGGCGGGGCCAAAGGGCACAGCTCCCGCACCTTAAAATGCCACCACGAGCAGGGGCCTGGGCTTGTTCACGTCCACCGGAGCCACCTCTCCCATCAGGCTCCTCCAGTACCATAGCCCCCGAGTTGCTCACTGTTCCAGAGCTGTCACTCATCTCGCCTGTGGCACGGTAAGGGTTAACCCCAAGGCTGGGTGCTCAGCAGACATGGACAGCACAAGGCGAAACACTGGCCAGTAATGCCAGACATTGGAAAAAAGTAAACCACAACCGCAAGAACACAGAAATAGTTACAAACACATCAAGGCATACAAATCACATCCACACACAACTAACACACATACACACACTCACATTCAGACAAGCGCATACACCCATTAGAATTTCCAGAGGTAGAAATCTCAGTGGTTGCAGAATCCAGTAAAAAGGGCAGTCCTTTAGTCCAGTTCCACCAATACGTCCAGATGACTTCCAGCTCGCCGCAAGATCACCAAAATGGTACAAATGTTAAATAAAGATGCTGAGCAAAGAAGGTGGAAGGAAAAGGAGGAGTGAAATCATCTGCATGTTGACTCCGAGCACCAGCCGTTGCAGCAGCACTCTCTGTCGTCAGATTATCAAATCCCTCTTTTTGCAGATGACACCACCGTTAGATTTACCCTCCAATCTCATACCTCCATTCATTGAAATATTTGAAGGTAGAGTTCAGTAAAAGTTAAAAACTGGTTCATATTTTTCCTCTCTGGCTCAGTTGTTCTCACCAATTCATTTTTCAAGGTCTTGATCTGACTCACGGTCTTGTATTCGAGCGCTGAGTCAGCTATGCATATCGAAGAAAGCTGGTTTCCTCACGGAGGAGGACTCGGTATTGACCGTGAAGCAATATGTCCCTTTTTCCACGACCAAAGCTCCTGCTGATTTATATCATCCTTATGGGAGCAAGGGACCTGCAGCATGGATCCTGGTATGTGCAAGCTGAGCCCCGGCAGAGGAGGCAGTGGCAAATGCAGAGTTATCAAGGAAGAGATCGTGGATGGTCAAATCCGTTAGCAGTACAAATCCGTTCTGAACAGCATCTGATGAGTGACCCACCTGGGCTTGTTCACGTCCACCGGAGCCACCTCTCCCATCAGGCTCCTCCAGTACCATAGCCCCCGAGTTGCTCACTGTTCCAGAGCTGTCACTCATCTCGCCTGTGGCACGGTAAGGGTTAACCCCAAGGCTGGGTGCTCAGCAGACATGGACAGCACAAGGCGAAACACTGGCCAGTAATGCCAGACATTGGAAAAAAGTAAACCACAACCGCAAGAACACAGAAATAGTTACAAACACATCAAGGCATACAAATCACATCCACACACAACTAACACACATACACACACTCACATTCAGACAAGCGTATACACCCATTAGAATTTCCAGAGGTAGAAATCTCAGTGGTTGCAGAATCCAGTAAAAAGGGCAGTCCTTTAGTCCAGTTCCACCAATACGTCCAGATGACTTCCAGCTCGCCGCAAGATCACCAAAATGGTACAAATGTTAAATAAAGATGCTGAGCAAAGAAGGTGGAAGGAAAAGGAGGAGTGAAATAATCTGCATGTTGACTCCGAGCACCAGCCGTTGCAGCAGCACTCTCTGTCGTCAGATTATCAAATCCCTCTTTTTGCAGATGACACCACCGTTAGATTTACCCTCCAATCTCATACCTCCATTCATTGAAATATTTGAAGGTAGAGTTCAGTAAAAGTTAAAAACTGGTTCATATTTTTCCTCTCTGGCTCAGTTGTTCTCACCAATTCATTTTCAAGGTCTTGATCTGACTCACGGTCTTGTATTCGAGCGCTGAGTCAGCTATGCATATCGAAGAAAGCTGGTTTCCTCACGGAGGAGGACTCGGTATTGACCGTGAAGCAATATGTCCCTTTTTCCACGACCAAAGCTCCTGCTGATTTATATCATCCTTATGGGAGCAAGGGACCTGCAGCATGGATCCTGGTATGTGCAAGCTGAGCCCCGGCAGAGGAGGCAGTGGCAAATGCAGAGTTATCAAGGAAGAGATCGTGGATGGTCAAATCCGTTAGCAGTACAAATCCGTTCTGAACAGCATCTGATGAGTGACCCACCACCATAGAACAAGCCGTTGATATTGTGCAGAGCAGCGGGCGTACACTCAGCCTCTATCTACATTCCTCCACTGAGAGAGTGCAGTTTATGTTGTGCTGGATGATATGGCAGCCCTCTTGGATTAATACTGACACCTAGCGGCATAGATGTGTCATCACGCAAAAACAAAAGTTTTCAGTTGCTGATACCACCGTACAAACATGCAATTTTCCGTGAGCCATGCTTAATTCCACAAATGAAAGTCTCAGTTAACAGACAGGTTACTGAAATTGGTCAACAACAATTGATTATTAATTATTATTGATTAAACTGATGATTATTATTTTATTATTATCATTATCATTATTATTATTATTATTATTATTATCATTATTATTATATCAGAGTCAAATAAAAATATAAAATATCGCAATTCTGACAATATCTGCAATTCTAAGGTGGCAAGAAATATAATTTATAATTGCTATAGTTACTAATATTTAATGTAATGTTTATTTATTTTATTTTTTTTGGGAGCAAAATAAAAAAGTTTTATATTTGTCACTAAAAGCCTTGTACATTCAAGTTACAAATAGACGCACACGATCTTGCATTAAAAATATGGTGGTATGTTATTTGTATTTGTCTGTTTATCAAATAATCCTGAAAAAAATTATAACATTTACACAAAACGATTTCAACATTGAAAATAAGAATAATTATTAATATACTGATTTTTATTTAAGCACCATCAATAACTGAATAATAAGTATAATCTGATACTGAAGAATCAAATTACTGAATTCAGAATTACTGATACTGAATTCAGCTTTGCCATTTACAAATATATTTAAAACAGATAAGTTACTTTAAATTGTAATAAAATGTCACAATATAACTGTAGAATAAATGCAGCTTTACTGAGCTTAAAGGAACACTCCACTATTTTTGAAAATAGGCAAATTTTCCAACTCCCCTAGAGTTAAACAGTTGAGTTTTACCGTTTTTGAATCCATTCAGCCGATCTCCGGGTCTGGCGGTAGCACTTTTAGCTGTAGCTTAGCATAGATCATTGAATCTGATTAGACCGTTAGCATCTCGCTCAAAAATGACCAAAGAGTTTCGATATTTTTCCTATTTAAAACTTGACTCTTCTGTAGTTACATCGTGTACTAAGACCAACAGAAAATGAAAAGTTGTGAGTTTCTAGGCCGATATGGCTAGGAACTATACTCTCATTCCGCAATGATTTTACCCAGCGCCTGAAAATAGGCCAACTTCTGTCAACATAACAAACGTGACCACCTGCTTGCACAGGGAGCGTGCTGGGGACTATTTTCAGGCGCTGCGTAATATCATTGCGCCTGCTGCACCCATAGTACGGCAGCAAAGTTCCTTGATTATTACGCCAGAATGAGAGGATAGTTGCTAGCCATATCGGCCTAGAAAATCGCAACTTTTAATTTTCCGTACACGATGTAGTACACGGAAAATGAGCCTATTTTCAAAAATAGTGGAGTGTTCCTTTAAGAGATCTTGTGTGTTTCAAATACAGGTTTGTAACAACATAAGGGTAAGAAAATTATGGTGTGAATGCTCTTGCTCTCATAAGTATACATCTGAATGTAGATAGGAAACATTCCCAATATCTTCCTTTACCCCCACTGCTGCTGTTGAAGCAGATTTGATCAATATTATTCGTTTTGCTGTTATAACTATGTATTAGATTAGATTCAATATTAGATCCAATATGAAACTTTTTTTTATCTGTGCCAACCTGTGGTGTAAACTTAAAAAAAGGGGACCAGCTCATGATATGTCCTGCACTGACTTCCTGTTTCAATCAGAAATACGTCAACACAAAGGAAAACTGTGCTCATCAAGCCACTTCATGGGGATTTTTAAGAATGTGTGGTGTTCAAGCTGCTTTGTGCATCAGTCTTTATATCTTTGCATCAGTGCTTGCGATGGTATAAACAGTACAGCCGAAAATCTCCAAAATGTCTTCAATCTTGCATCAATCTTCAAGGACATGTTGTCCAAAGCACCAGGTTTCACATGATCAGAGAGGAGATAACTCTGTGTTCTTTCACTCCCCCTGAGAGAGACAACACTGCGAAGAATAAGCCGTTTTTATACCGCCATATTAACACACACATACTGAAGTCTCCTGTGATGCAGGTAAATTGAAAGCAGACGGTGCAAAAGGGTAACATTAGTTATATATAGGACTCTGATGTGTCCCTTGGATTCGAGTAAAATTACTAAGAAAACGAATTGCTATTATAAAAAAATAATAATAATTAGTTATTGATAATGGATGTTTTGATATGTCAAATTTATCTCACCTAGAAATTTACAGTAGTGTGTCAACAAATTCCCCCCAAAGATTTATAATTGTGAATAATTGTGGAAATTCATATGAATGCATCTTGAAAGATATCTTTGACCAACTGTTTAGATAAAACTTTAACTTGGTGCTATTCTGGAACAAAAATCAACTAGGATGGGATTTAAACTCTCCAAAAAGAGCTGTTAAATTCAAGCAAATTTATGGTAAGCAGATCTATCTGTTTGGTCATATGCTCTCAGACATAAAATATTTGTTGCATCGGAGTGAAATCCTCAGCTCTAAGCGCTGCAGCAACAATAGATTGTGTCTCAATTAACTGAAAGAAACCAGAAATGGAAAATTCCAACTATGCAAGATGAATTATTATAATTAAAAAAAACAATGTATGCAGGTTGCATCAATCTGTTTCAATAAATCATTCCCATCTGCCCATGTTGTTCAATGCAAGGAATGCAACATTCAAGCTTTGTGTAAACAGTCTATGCCTGATAAGGACAGGGGGCACTGAAGATGCATTGCAGAGGCTCATTTAATTTACAAAATAGGTGTTGTTCATATGGCACTCACTGAAGATGAATTGATGGTACTGGTCAAAATAAAATCAATGCTCTTCGAAGATAATCAGTCATCACCTACCTCTACAAACCCTGCAAACCCTCAGCACACTTCTTGTTCCCATGGTTTTCTTTTGGTTTCACTCTCTAAAAAATAAATAAATAAATAATCTTAGATAGCAGAGATTTTTTTTTAAATGCTTAGTGTTAGAGTATGTTCGGCCTTTATTCAGTCCATTAACCAGTCCACTTATTTCCATATATCTATAAATTCATTCATTCAAACGCTGAATCTAGTAGTAGTAATTATGTCCGTGTGTGTTTGTGTATGAAGATAAATGTACTGAAATATGTTGTCTGCCCAAGTATGAAAAAAATAATTGCCCTAACAATTGACACAGGTGTATGGCTGAGAATCACATTTACAGCAATGTGCATTATTCATGCTGTGAATCTGAAGGACGTGTGAAAATCAAGCAACAATAACATTCCATATGCCAAAGATGCAAAATTAATGGATAAACTGGAAAATTATGCAACATATTCATAAGTTTGGATGTGATATTCAGAGTTTGGATGTCCTCACTTGCGCTATTAAATTAAACATCAAGCAAGGGCGTTCCCAAAGCGACTCGACGCAGCTCGAGTTCCTGAAGGGGAATCACACTGCTTGATTTTCACTCGCATGAACGAGCACCGATTTGCCTCCGATTTCAGGCATTTGTCTGCGATTTTGCAAAACCTGTCGGCGAGTGAAAAATCAGGCTAAAATCATGCAGTGTGAACTCGGCATAAATATTCTTCCATGTGTCTGCCACCACCACAGCATGCTTAAAGGAACGAGAATGAGATGTGAGAGGAATATTCCAATATACACACAAAATAGTGCATAAGAAAGTTGTAAAAGAAAAAGTTTACCCAAAGATGAAAATACTTTCTTCATTTAGACATGTTCCCAAACCCAATTACTTTCTTTTGTGCACAAAAGAAGATATTTTGAAGAGTCCAAATAACAACAATTAAACATCTTCTATTGTGTTCGACAGTCAGTCATGCAGGTTTGAAACAACATGAGAATGAGGAAATTATGACAATTTACATTTTGGGGTGAACAATTCATTTAAGAATTCTACAGAGGTTCATAAGAATGTGTACACTTTACAGTAGGTGTAACAGAAAGAAAAAAAAAAATTTGAAAAACGTTTAAGTTCTCCAATATTTTCTTAAGAACATATTGTATCTTAAAAGAATAGATTACTCAAGAAAATTAAATGTACTCGCTCTGCAGCCTGTCTAAGATGTAGATGAGCATCTTGGCTTTTGGGATTTAAGGCAAGTTATTTATGACTGATTTAATATTTTTAAGACATTTTTTTTCCAAGAATTGTAATTCTTTTAAAGTTTTGTCTTAATAATGTTATCTTTTTTCTCAAGACTGTTCTTAAGACATTTGTTTTTGTGAATACAAAATATTCGTAACTCTTCTAAGTAAAGTAGCAAGTTTATTGAATGTTTTATGAACCTGGTCACCAAATGTTTCTGTGAGTTCTGAAAAGCAAGAGAATGTGTAAATGATGACAGAATTGCCTTTTTTTGGGTGAAATATTCCAACTATGAACTTCACTATCCAGACCAGTGAGGCAAGTATAATTTAGAGGTGGAAACGGAAGTGGTGACATTTTTGATAATGATGGCTGAACCAAAACTGTCACGTCTGTCTAATTTTGGATGTTTGAGAGATGGTTCAGAATCACTGTAGACTGATATCATCTCACTGGGGTTCTTTGGGTGTTTGACTTAACAGCAGTTGCTCCTCTACTATTGATTTGCAGACAGAAGACACGGTTTGCATCTGAATCTACCAATGGAGCTGTGAGTAAGAGAGTGCTTCTCTTCTGATCCAAACTAGCACTGCTCCTCAGGGAGTTAACATTTCTATTTCAACTGTTCCAACAGTCTGTCTCTGTCTGTCTCTTGTTGTGGTGTGTTGTGTTGTGTTGTGTTGTGTTGTGTTGTGTGTGTGTGTGTGTGTGTACCAACCAAACATTGGTTCTGACTCGGGGAGCTGGAATTGAACCCTAATCTCCCCTGATGACGGTACACCACTTTACATTATTTATAGCAAACTCCCCACACCAAAGTCTCATTTGACATTTTCTGTGTCCA